CATTCACTTCCGCACCTATTCTTCGTTACTTTGATTTCTCCAAACCCGCTGTCATCGAGCCCGATGCTTCTGACTTTGCTCTGGGTGCCGTCCTTTCCCAGTTTGACCCTGACGGCGCTCTTCACCCCGTTGCTTTTCACTCTCGGCAATTCCGTCCCGCCGAGGTGAATTATGACACCCACGACAAAGAGCTCCTTGCTATTGTCGATTCCTTTACTGCCTGGCGTCATTACTTGATGGCTGCCGACCCCGATCATCCCACTCTTGTTTTCTCTGATCACCAGAACCTCACCCGGTTCACTTCCGCTTCCCAACTTTCTCGCCGCCAGTTCCGGTGGGCCCAATTCCTTTCTGATTTTGCTTTTCGCATTTACCACCGCCCTGGTCGCCTCAACACCAAAGCCGATGCTCTCAGTCGCCGTTCTGACTTTGAGATAAAGCCTGGTGACTCCCTCCACTCCACCAACTTCCTTCAGCTGTTCGAGTCTATTTCTCTCGACAGCATCACCGTTATCGGCTCGAACCCCGATTTTCTTTCCGAGATTCGAGCTGCCACCCTTTCTTGTTCCCTTCTTTCTGACTTCAACGCCAAACGTCTTGATGGCGATTACTCCTTCCGTGACGGTCTCCTTTACTTTAAAGACCTGATCGTTGTCCCTTCCCCCGAGCTCCAGCTCAAAGTGTTTGAGCAACGTCACTGCTCCGCTGCCGCTGGTCACTTTGGTCTTGCCAAGACCGTTGAGCTCATCTCCCGGGACTTTCACTGGCCCCGGCTTCGTAAGTCTGTGCGTCGCTTCATTGCTAATTGTGAAGCGTGCCAGCGAGCCAAGCCGTCCCGTCACTCCCCTTATGGTTTACTTCACCCTCTCCCCGTTCCTTCCGAACGTTGGTGGGACCTGTCGATGGACTTCATCACGGATCTCCCACCTTCGAACGGCTTTGACTCCATCTTCGTGGTTAAGGACCGCCTGTCCAAACAAGCACACTTTGTGCCCACCACGAAGACGGTTACAGGCGAGCAAACCGCCGAACTCTTCCTCTCCCACATCTTCCGCTTGCATGGTTGTCCCCGGTCTATTGTTTCGGACCGAGGAACTCAGTTTACTTCGGCCTTCTGGAGGCGCTTCAATGAGCTTCTGAAGACGAAGATTTCCCTTTCTTCTGCCTTCCACCCCGAGACCGACGGTTCGACCGAGGTTCTCAACCAGGTCATCGAGCAGTATTTGCGTATCCATTGCAATTACCTGCAAGACGACTGGACCCTTCACCTTCCCCTTGCCGAGTTCACTTACAACAACTCGGAAAACACCTCCACTGGCATGACTCCCTTCTTTGCAGTCCATGGCCATCACCCCATTTTTGATCCCTCCATCATCCGTGATCCTTCTGTTGTGCCCTCTGCCGAAGAACGTGTCGACCGACTTCAGACCGTTCTCGAGGATCTCAAGGCCAACCTCCGGGTTGCCCAAGAGTCCTACACTTTGCAGGCCAACAAATCCCGTCTCCCCACTCCCGACATCTCCGTTGGCGACCTCGTTTTTCTTGATCGTCGCCACATCCGCACCCTTCGTCCCTCCAACAAGCTTGATCAGAAAAAGCTTGGCCCCTTTAAAGTTCTTCGCCGCATCAACCCCGTTGCCTTTGAACTTAAACTCCCTTCCACACTCAAAGTCCACCCCGTCTTTCATGTATCCCTCCTTGAACCCCGAACGAAGGACATTGTTCCCGAGTTCACCCAACCCGAACCTCCACCCATTCTTGTTGACTCCCAGGAAGAGTTTGAGGTCGAGACTGTTCTCGATTCTCGGCTCTTCCGTGGTCGCTTACAGTACTTGGTTCAGTGGAAGGGCTATTCCGAGACTGACCGGTCTTGGGAGCCCGCTGCCAATGTTTCCCACGCCACTGATCTTGTTGCTGACTTCCACCTTCGCTATCCCTCAAAGCCGAAGGCGACGCCCGGAGTTCGTCGCTAAGGAAGGGGATGATGTTAGGGATAGCTTCTGCTTGTTCTCCACTTTGACTGCACACTTGGCTGTTCTTTTGCCTTTCTGTTTGTTTGTGTGTAGCTTTGCAGTTCCCCTCCAATTTTCCGCCTTTTGCCTGCCATTTCCGCTCCTTCCGCACTTCCGTTTCCCCGCGCTGCTCCGCTTCCTTTGTCTTCTTCGCACGCGCCGGTTTGTTTGTGCACGCGCCTTGCTGCGATTGGTTGCAATTCGGCTGCCGGTCATGTGTCCCACCACCGGTGACTCATGACCTGCCTGACCGCCCCGATCTCTTGTTCATCTCGCATGCATTTGCCCCAACCTTATACTTGACCAATCCGCTTCTTGGACGTTGAGTCACATTGCTTCGCCTTTGCACGTTTCTCCTGCCAGGTGCTTCGCTTTTGCTTGCGCCTCCCTCGCTTTGGTTCTCTGCCTGTCTCGGTGGTCCTTCTCGGCCCTCGTTCGTGCATCGCCCCCTTCGCCCTGCTCGATCGCCCACTTTTCCCTCCCTTGGCCGCCCTTCGCTGCCAAGTCCGGACTTGTCTATAAATAGCCTGACCCCCGCGATGTGTAGTCGAACCTCAGCGTTCAAAATAGGACTAAATAAAGTGCCTTCTACTTTATTCTCTGAGTGTTCCTCACGTCTCATTTCGAGACTAGTCTTATCTTGAACGGATCTTTGCTTCCCTCGCTCCCTCTCCGAGTCCACTTCGGACTTTACCCTTGCCTTCCCTGAGCTCACTTCGAGCTCACTTCTTCTTTTGCCGTTGAGTCCCCTTCGGACTCTAACATGCGTTCGTCAATCCGAACGGCAGCACTAGGAACTCGTACAGTCCGTAGCGAGTCCTGAAGGCGGTCTTGTGGACATCATCCTCGTGGATGCGGATCTGATGGTAGCCTGAGCGGAGGTCTATCTTGCTAAAGACCTTTGCTCCACTCAGACGATCCATCAACTCGTCGATCCTGGGCAACGGGTAGGTGTTCTTGATGGTCTGTTTGTTTAGTGCGCGATAGTCGACGCACATCCTGAGATCACCTTCTTTCTTCTTGACAAAGAGCACTGGTGCACCATACGGTGACTGGCTCGGGCGGATGAACCCATGGGCGAGGAGGTCATCCAACTGGCGCTTGAGTTCGTCCATCTCCGTCAGCGACAGTTGGTACGTCGGTCTTGACGGAGGCGACGAGCCTGGTTCGATGTCGATGCGATGATCGACGGTGCGTTGGGGTGGCAGGCATTGTGGCAACTGGTCGGGGAATACGTCCTTGTACTCGTCGAGCAGCTTGGTCACCACAGGCGGGGGACCGGGACCGGCTTGGTCGGTGTCGTCGACCTCACGCACGACACAGAGGAACGACGTGTCCTTCTTGATCAGCCTCTTGAATTGCATGGCTGAGAGGAGAGGTGGCATGTTGGGTGAGGCCATGCCCTGCAGGACAATGTCAGGGCCAACACGGACAGTGCGGCCTTTCCAGTCGACGACTGGAGTCGGCTCGGCACGAGCAAGCCAGCTCATGCCGAGGATGGCATCGAACTTGGTGTCGATCACTTGGAACAACAGGACAGGATGGTACTTGGGATGGAGGGGGTACAAGACAAGACAGGACGGGGCAGAACAGGGCGGTGCTAGGCTACTCTAGCGGACGGGTGAGCTCGGGGAGCACTTACGTTTATTCACGATAAAACCGAACTCCAGACAAACGGGGGGAACGGGGGCAACCCGCAGGTATACCCTGCGGTGGCCTGCCTGCGGTGCGTGAAAACGCAAAGCGCAGCACAGGTCACGACCCACTGCGCCGCGCAGTACGCGCAGTACGCGCAGCACAGCGTCGGAGATACCATCTCCTACAGACGGTAAGTGATCTCGTCGAAGGTGAGTGACATGTAGTCGGCCTCACAGGCTTCGCCCCTTTCTTCCTTGGCTGCAATTTCGATGGCCCAGTTCTTCTCGGCCTCGACATCGGGAGGGTTGGGGTACATTTCGGAGTCTCCGTAGAGCTCCTCGATCGTTGTTTCGATCGGCTTCTGGCCACTGGGGACTATGGGCTGGGAGACTTCTTGGCCATCGCCTCTGCGTTTCTTGGGCGTGGGCTGATCCGTGAGATCGATTGTTTCGGGCTGAGTTTGGGCCTCAGGGGTGCTCTGGAGGGTCCAGGGACACTGTCATGGACGTCTACGGCCATTTCGGGGGCAGGCGAGTCGTCGGGGGGCATGGTTGATACCGGGTTGGTTTTGTTGGTAGGCAATGGGAGGGCAGTAATTCAAAAGGTGCGTCCGCGGAACACTCGATAACGAGATCGGGGCAAACCTGGGGGAATTAGCTCAGATGGTAGAGCGCTCGCTTAGCATGCGAGAGGCACGGGGATCGATACCCCGATTCTCCACTTTCACTGCCCGGCTAGCTCAATCGGTAGAGCGTGAGACTCTTAATCTCAAGGTTGTGGGTTCGACCCCCACGTTGGGCGATTGGCTCCTATGGCGCAATTGGCTAGCGCGTTCGGCTGTTAACCGGAAGGTTGGTGGTTCGAGCCCACCTAGGAGCGTATTTTTGCTGACCCGTCCAGTGGGAACATTAGCCCTCTTTCCCCTCTCTCCTCATTTTTTCTTCATTCGTGGCTCAAATTTCGAATCTTTTATTTTATTTTATTTTTATTCTCCTGGGTCGTGTTGTTTGGTATGGTGCCGCTCCTGGGAAAAATAATGCTCTCTGCTTCCTCGTTCGATATTCCGTGGCTGACTTCCCCGCCACTCCTTCGATAGCCAAGAATAAATTCGTCTCCCCCTCCCGGCTTCTGGGCTATCAAGGCCTTGGCGCCATACCTTGCTTACACATCGTCTCGTCATCGTATCCAGTCGCACCCATCCGGACCATAGCAGTATCCCACCGACTGTCCTTATACGAGAATCAACATAGAATACCACTTTTATCCGTACTTACTCTTCCTTTATCATTTGAAATGATATGTTTCTCTTTCCTCCGCTATCGACTGTTCGATGCACGTGCTACTGTACCCATCACTCTCTCCACGATTGGTTTGCTCGAGCTGTGCTCCCCTGCATGTACCATGTTGGCGGTGTGTCTCCAAAGTTTGCTCTGGAAACGAGGCTGACCTGCTCTTCAACATCGAAACGTGACCAAATGTGACAGCCTCCACTTGTTCGAGTAGCTTTGATCGAGTGTTCTGACTTTTATTTATATTGATCGAAACTTCATTCGCTTATCTCGCCTTCCTCCTCCTCCGAAATTTCTCCCTCCTCTTCGTCCTGGCGATTTGATCGTTCTCCATCAATCGTCGCAGGTCGCCCACCAGATCGCTCACCAGCATCTGGAATTGCTTGTGTTTGTTCTTCCATTATCTCCAATAGCCCATCATCGTCTGGAGCGCATTCATATTCGGTATCATCGATATGGATATTTGTTTCGTTCTTACTCGACGTTTGATCGAGCTCCATATCTGTTGGATCCAGCTTCATCCCTTCTTCTGGGCCGTGAATTCCGTATCCATGAACACTTCCATTCACCAGCAATGCTAGAACCATTTGGTCACGGTCATTTGCCACAGTTTGTAATTGCAGAACCCAATCGCCGGTCGGAATTGTGTAATGAACCTAATGAAATAATTGATCACTTCTCAGCTGAGGGATCCAATCTTCATGAAGCTCCAAATCGGATTGTCTCTGATTATTGTCGCAGCAGTATACCTGACACTGGTGATATAGCCTTATCTCTTCAAAGTTTCCACCAACTGCCAGATAGTCAAATTTTGATCCGGGAGCGGGAACGGCTTGGATGGCAGTGATGCTCTCATCGACTTGATTGTACAAGTAAATCTGGGGATGTGATAATGGCACGGGAGCGTTAATATAGGACTCACCATTCATTAATCTCATGCCTCAACTGCCCTCGTCGATATCCCGACTATTCATCATGGATTGCTGCGAATTGTCGAACCTCGTTTTTTTCAAGAATATAGATGGCACCGTCCTCGCCAGCCATCATCACTTGCGGCCATTGTTGCGACGATTCGCTCGTGTCCGATGATGCGAACCGCCCCTTCGTCAACTGCGAAGATCGACATGGGGGAGGGCGAAGTTGGTCGATAATACTACAGCCCACCCTGTCCCCGGACATAAATCATCCGTTGTTGCTCATGACAATCTCTGAGAAGCTCTGAAATAGTTCCGTCAGCATACCGAAACGATTGGACTCGGTAGTGCCTTGGAGAGTACGCGGTTTCCTTCGACATAAAAGTGGAGAAATGGTGAACCATCGCAGAGCAGTATAAAGCTCGTCGAGGTATCGCCAGAGTCTGGCAGATCGATGGGCATAAGACATCGGATCGATGGAGAGAAGATGGGTTCCTATAGACGAAATGCCGAGTCAATACGGACAGCTGGTCTCTGCGATCGGAACCAGCTTTCAATTCATGATTTCAGAAGTGGCTGCCGTTGCCGACATACATCCTCATCCAGAACAGAAAATAATCCGCCTGCTTGGCATCTCCAGAGGATTTGGAAGGCATCGAAGGCCACCATCGCTCCACGAGCATCGCCAGCTAAAAGATAGGGATGACCCGCTAATATAATATGTAACAGGAGCGCTGTTTTAGTTCGTAATACCATATCTGGCCACCATTTCTTGTCCTGGTTGAAGTTCTCTTGGATATTTTCCTCTGCGTAACAACCCAGTCTCCCGCTACCACCGACTATTCAACATATAAACATACCCATATTAATGTTGGTGGTGATTGTGGTGATGGCAGAGCCCAGGCTTAGTTTGGAGGATATCTGGCTCTTGGAAATCAGCGTTATTGTTCCGTCTGCGTGGCCGGTGGCCATGGTCAAGGAGCTGTGGGGGAACACTTGGCAAAAGGATGCACAGGTGATGGTGCAGCCCTTTGTCTCAAATTGGGAATCCGTTTTCTGTTGATCGATCATCCCGAGTCTAGTTAGGCACGGCTGGATGGGGTTTGGCATCGAAAGCCAGGTATCGAAAGCCATGCTCCGACATCGGCAGCGATCACATTTGGACTTGTATGGATCGAACAAGCACGAACGACTCACCCCAGTTGAAATGTTACAGCTAATCAGCCGCCCATGCTCATTCCCAACCGTAAATGCTGCAAGCCCATGTTTTTTATGGAAGGTTGTCGGCCGGGGTTTGCTCTGTATCCCGCCTGGAATGAGGATCGTTGTGTGTTCATCAAACGATTGATGCCATTTTGGCACAATCCTAAGCATTGTCTTGATCAATTGTTGGTCAGCAGAGGCTTTCGGCCGAAATGGCTTGGGCCTCCAGGACTTTCGCCGATCGAATGTCTGCCATCGCGGCTGTTCTGATGATATTTGCGCAAGACCAGAGAAGATCTGTGGTTGGTCGAGTGGCATTTGGGACCCGACAATTTCGGCTTCACGGGGATTGTATTGGACCTCGAGTTTGAGTTTCTTGATGGCCAGGCCATCGGGAGCTGGATCCATCCTCCGTGCGGGAGATGTCGGGCGAGAGGCGGCTTGGTCTCGCTGGAGCTCCAGCGAAGGGAAGGCCGGCCCAGGAACGCCGTTGCCCTTTCCCTCTCGCTTTCCAACGCGCACGTGACTTTAGGCATCACTCTGGCCCAGGGCTTGCTGGCACGTCCGCTCTCTGGGATGGCTAACATCATGGCGACTGGTCAAAGGCCATTCAGCACATGCTGGATAGAGCGCAGTCGATTGCCACAGAGATCGAGTTGCTGGAAGCGCCGTCGTTTGCTCAGGTGCAGGTCCGACCAGGCATCAGGCTCTAGTGGGCAAGCCATGCGATTGTTTCCCGTCCTGGTTGGCAATCTCTTTGATTTCGTTGGTTTGGGAAGCACGGTCGTGAATACACTCGGTCGATCTCATGTGTCGATGTGGGAGTGTGGTGCATCCAGTTGATGTGGGAGTGCGATGCATTCACTCGATGTGGGAGTGCGATGCATTCACTCGATGTGGGAGTGCGATGCATTCACTCGACCCTCTGGATAACTCCATGGTGTATCGATATCAAGATACTCGGCCTTCCCGAGCCGCTCGGCTTCCCAGCACTGTGAGCACACCTGGAGATCGGGTCGCTTGAATAGCCGTCGCCGGGCCAGGCTGGAGTGCAGCTGTTTGTCCAGCATGTCTCCATCGAGTACATGGCGAATGTATTGCAGGAAGGAAGCCACCCCGGGGATCTTGGGACTTGGTGTGGCGCTCATCCATTGCTGCAGACCAAGTATCTTGTGGGTGCTCTGGATCCACTTGGTCGCCTGGGTGGCCTTTGGCTTGCGGTGAACCATCTGTGCGAGACAGTGTCCCTGATTCAGATCCAGAAACACATCACAGAATGGTCATGGCCAGCGCGATGTGTTGAGGCAACAACGTATTTGTTCAACGACCAAAATCCGGGGTGTCCCGTTTTTTTATTGTATTGGCTATAAATCAGCCAGTTCTCTAAACTTCCATGTTTTCTTGTAGGTGATGCAATAATGAAGCCTGACTTGAAAAGTCCGTCAGCCTGTGTGCCAACCGATCATGCGATACTCTGGGCTCCAAAGGCTATGTTGAGTGTCGGAATGCCTGCAGCTTATATATTACTTCTTACACCGAGACAGCATCCCCCGTTTGTTTTTTTTTTCAGCTGTCCTGTCGTCCGTTTTGCCTCGCCACAGTCAATCTCTGGTCTGGATTCCAGCTCCAGGCTGTCGCTTCGAGATCTTTTGGCTTCGCGCCAAAACCAAATGGCGCCGAGTTTGCTGACCGGCGCCACTTCCCTCCAAAAGCCACTCTAATGCTTTCACAAATTTGAGAAAGCTCGGATCAACATCTTGCTTTTATGGGTCCGAGATCAACGGACAGTTTGGCTGAATCTCAGCAACGAGAGAAGCTCAAGCTTTGTATCTCGCGCTTGGGAGGAGGTTGCTTCCCTTTTCTTCCCCGCTTGGTGCCAGCTTATCCAATATCATGTTCCATTGGTATGATTTCAAGTTTCCTAGATCTGCCAGATCTCGCGCCGCCTCATTTCGATTTGTTGCCGCTGCGCTGAGTCTATGGGTCTTGGCAGTGGCAACGTACGCCCTCTACAATACCCAATATGAATCGACTGTTCACACGAACCCTATCCGAGATTCCCTTGCTACGCTTGAGGAAATCGATATTCCTTCTAAATTCAGCGGGGCTTCACAGCCAAAACAAGAAACTCCACTCGATGTCGCATCTCCTCCCCATGAGCATTTCTCCTCAAGAACCAGGCCTTCCAAGTACAACAAGGTGCCAACAAAGTACCTGGATCCTATTTTCAAAGAGCCACTGGAAGCACCTTTCCGCGACTCACAGTCCCCCCCTGTAAAACCCCTCGAAAACAAGCAGGCGTCCCTTGATACCGTCGAAAAAATGGACAGCAATAATCAAAGGGAAGCCACTGATGTACGCCTTGAAAGAAACCACCATCATGGCGTGCTCGATCCCTTGAGTGCCTCGCAAATGGGCCCACGGGTCAAATCCGACCGTGGTCTGAGAAGGACTCGAAAGGAGGAGCAATATCGAGATGCCCAAGGTGATAAAGCCCCATATATCCACAACCCTGGTGGGAATAGCCTGGAGACCGCGCAGGAATTTCGTACCAAAAACGCGAGACAGATTCAATGGCCCGGAGATATGGATAAACAAAGTGGCCCGAAAGTGTCAGACCATCGGCATGGTTCAAAGTCCCCGTCCCCGTCACCGTCCACAGCCTCTCGTCACAGCCAGCGCGGCGCGCAGATATCGAGAAAAGTCCCTCCAATCCACAATATCAAGGGTGCTGCCGAATACAGGGGCACTTGGGATGGAGGCAGTGTTGCCGCAAGAAAAACCCCTCAAGCCGACCAAGGCATCGACTCGAGCAAATTAGTTGACCAGCATAAAGCCCGCGGCGAAGGCATCTCGATTGTTTCATCAGATAGCACCCGCCGGAACGTGATCGGCCTCAAGGACAAGCAGGAGCCCGTGAACACTTTTGATCATAAAATACACGATGAATCCGAGTGGCTCCGACGCAATGTCGCCATGAATATCGACCAGATACTTCGTATCAGCGATCGCGAAGTCGGAACTAGGACTACTCCTTTCTTTGACGAACGACTTTCGGAGAGGATCCGCACTCTTTCAAGGGTCCCGTTAATAGGCTTTGAAATGTGCTCGATGCTCGAAGGCTCTGAGTTTGACAGCCTTGTTGGTCTTGGTATGCAAATCTGCACGCTTGATCGATTTTGGTGCGGGTCTTCTGGATGATTTGGTCAATGTTGCTTACAGAGGCTGCTGCATGAACGGTCCTTGATTAGTGCCGCTCGCCGGAAGTATCATGGAAACGAACATGGTTCCACAGGCGTATAGCCGAATGATTGATATGCTGGCGGCCAAAGTCCGCGATAACATTCATTCTTGGGCACCAAAAAACAAGCGATTTCGTCCCGAGTCTGTCGATCGATTTGCGTGTCTCATGGCTGCACTCGGTAGCAATGAGTATGCGCTAATAGCAGATTCGACCTGGCTCAAAACAATTCGACCCCAAGTCTATTTTCCAGAGCTTCCCGTTTCCCCGAGTAACCCTGAAAAGGCCTTTGTGGAGGAAGTTTTGACCCCGCAAGACTTTGATATGGATGACTCGTTGGGCAGCCCCACGGTAGCCGAACCCACTAAGGTGCAACTTCCGCCCCTCAAACATTACAAGTTGGCGTATTTTCTCATGATGCATGAGGGAATCGAGAACGTCAAGCTGGTCCTTCGCGCCATATACGATCCAGAAGCCATTGTGCTGATCCATGTGGACAGCCACCGACCAAAGATCCACAAAGAAATCACCGAATACGTCTGCGCAACATACAGACAGCACATTTATGTGATGCGACGATCGCTGCCTCTCGCCTGGGGAGGAAGTGGCATCGTCTTTGCCCAGATCGCTGGCTTTTTCAATCTCCACGATTTGGCAAGGTGGGACTACGTAATCAATCTCAGTGGCTACGACTACCCTCTCATGTCGACTTCAACCATACACGATATTTTGGAGGTAACGGGTTCACGGCTCTGGGCAAATTGCCGTTGCAGAAGACCGTAATATAAAGTTGCGCCGATGGAAGCGATGCACAGGTAGACTTGGATCAGCCTTTAACATTGATCTGGCTCACGAAGCTCACTCACGCGGCAAGGCCTTTATCCACTCAATGATTTTCCAGAAAGACCCAGGGAAGATCCACATGGAGTATTGGGAAGACCGCGATACAGCCCTGCGGCTCGAGCACCCAAACTTTCTACTTGAAGACGAAGCTAAGATTGCATCAATGCCCGAAGCCCCGTTCCGCAAGTTTCAGTTCTCAAAGGAGTTTGTTCCGTACAAGCATCATCAATGGATGGTGCTTCCACGAGCTTTCATTTCGCACATACGGAGCAATCAGAACGCTTTCAAATTGTTGGCTTGGATAGAGCATGCGTAGGTGTCCATCAACCGGCTCATGGCCTTTTCGCTCTCCTGGTTGGCAAGCACAGCATCAAGGAGCATCCTGCTGTTGAACCTACGATTGCCCGCTCTTAACATGGATTCGTGTCAATTAATAGCTGGATTCCGGACGAAAGCTACTTTGCGACTGTGGCTCTGGCAAGGGGCCAACCATGGAGCGATCGCATTGTTCGAGGCTGCCGTCGCTTCATGTACTTCAAGCCTCAAAGCTATCATCCGGAATGGATAACGATGAAAGACAGCGAATCTCTTGGTCGAGGGGATTTTTTTGCTCGCAAAATCAATGCGACTAAAGAGGTGGATTTAATTGAGTGGCTGGATCGACGCCGCGGATCACAATAGGATACTTTGGTAGTAGAATCGCCATTAGGATTTGAGTCGTCTTGTTAAATTGTCGTTCGGGTATGCACACAATGCACACAATGCACACAATGCACACAATGCACACAATGCACATCATCCCATCACCACCTATCGCACCTTGCGGGCCTCACACCAGCACTCGGCGATGCTCTGATCTGATTCCCAAGAGCATCCTCCATCTTTGGCGTGAGTTCCTTTGGCGGGTCAGGTGTGGTCTCCAAGGTGGGTGTGCGTGGCCACCGCAGCGGATCCGAAGGCGACCGACGCCGGCGAGGCATATCCCTTTCGGTGAGGGATATGGTCACCAACGACAATGAATGAGCTGGGGGCTTGAAAGGCGAGTCTTCTGCACCCAGCAGGGCGCCTTTGCCCATCCCATTTGCAGATACCGTATATAGCAAGGCGGACAGCACATCCGGATGTGGGGGGAGAGGAGAGTGACGGGCTGATGCCGATGATCATTCCACCAGGGTCAAAATCGACCAACAAGCGGCACTAGATATATCCATTGCATGAAACGGTGATGCAGCACTCGGATTGCTGCTCCCGCGATTAAAATGGCTGTGATGCTCTTGGCGCAGCGTGTTAGGAGCGTCCTCAGCCAAGCGAAAACCGCTTGATCAAACACCCCAGAAACTTGCCGGCCGTGTGATTTCTGGAGACCGGCAAGCCCGCGGTCGGGCGATGTCTTTTGTATTCGCCGCCCTGGATCACGCAGTGGCTTAGATTTCATTTCGCCTGCTTCTCGCTGGAAGTGCTCCCACCGGTCTCGCTGGGCCCCTCGCCGAAATGATCTCGTGCGCAGCACAACCAACCCGCCAGGCGCCGAAAGACCCTTGACAAGGCACCCCGATCGCCGAGGACTACATTCGAAGCTTGGATGTATGGCATGGGGACGGCATTGCGCCCGAAGCAGCGATGTCAGCGATCACCGCACAATCAACAGTCGCCAAGGGGAAGGCCTCATTCAACACCGCACACGAGCCCTAAATTGGGGTTGGTGTCCTGGATGTATCCTCTCCTTTGGAAGAAGACCAACAGGATCGTTCCTTGGTGCTGGACAAAGCAGTGTGCCGCAGAGCATTGCCTCAATAGCGAATCGCTGCTCTTTCATTCGCTTTGATCGCAGTTAGGACAGTCCAGATCTCGATAAAGAGCAGAGCATCGCCTATTTCAAAGATATGAATGCATTCAAGCATAAGGAACTCTGGCAACAGAAACGGTAAGCAGCCGCTGCGCCGTTGCTAACGGGTGAAGTAAGGGGGAAAATCGTCTTGGAGGCAAGCGGACCAAACCCAAGAAGATCAGCGGTCTGTAGCTGACAACTGAAGATAACTGTTGACTCTAGGCTGGGAGCTGGAACTTTCTTCCTCGGAGGACCCTATTAGTAACAAGCGCATTGATTCAGAAGGACAGTCAGCTAGTCATAAAAAGTACAAGCCGTTGGCGACCCTGGATAGTGGAGTCACAGGGGATAAATGCTGCGGATGGCATGGACGCTGCGGGCTTTCCGCGCGCAACGGAATCATACCTGGTAACATAGACATAGAAAAAGTCCCCGTACAGTCCTGTCTGAACGAGACCGGCAATGACCACAATCCATTCGACGTGATTTTCGGCAAAATAGCGATAGATCCAGTTCAGAAGATAGAGAGCGCGATAGCCTCCAAGAGCGAACAGGTAGTGAGTCGTGATGGTTTCGGCCTCCCCGGTGCGAGTTAGCTGGAAGAGTTGAGGAAGGATTGCAACGGCTTCCAGATAGACAGAGAATGCCCACAGAATCTAAGGGGCAACCACGACACAAATCCGAGTCAACAACAGGGTGTCGAAATGTTCAGTGGCCATCACTACCCGAGGCAGTGGATGAGGATGAGGATGCGTTCGAAGGCCGATCGATCCACACAAAAGCAATCCACGCAGAAAGATGCCCAAAGCCACATCTGCCGAGGTACCTCCACTGGGACAAATTCGTAGTTGAAAAGGATCGCCAAGAGGACACATGGGCCGAGCAGGTATTCAATGCGCAGAGTGTCGAGGTTGGGATCCCAAGTGGCCTTGAACTGAACTTTCATGAGATACAAGATATAAAACGACGAACCAATGAAGAAAATCTTCATGAGAGTGTTATAAATCGACACAAAGCGGATGAAGAGGTCCAGGTAGCGAGTGCAAAAGACGATGGCGTATAGAAGTTGCGTCTTGAAAGAGATGCCTGGGAAGAGTAACAAGTTAGTCCGCTTTCCACACCACTGCTACTGATCATCCCGGTTGGTCTATTTCATCGATCGCTAATTTCTGCTCGCCCAACCAGCAACACATATGCATCGATCTCTGCTAAGAAACAGCCTGCTGCCGCAATGGGAGGCAAGGCGCCGTTCAAGGATCATATCTCTGTGAACGCGATCGCCGCGATTCCCTCACAGATCGTGGTTGTATGCGATGGGCTTCTCCATCCCATGTTCCCGGATGCCATTCATAGGACAAGTGGCTGCTGATCAACTCGTTTGGGCTGTTATATGCTCGAGCGTTCACCTACCGGCGGCTGATCGAGTCTTGATAATCTTGAGAAGGAGGATGAAAATGGAAGCAAGATGGAGGAGATCCGCCACCAGTCGAAAGATGTTCATCATGGCGAATATGAATGGGTCTGCGATGACCGCGAGAGAAGGAGGGAAGGAGGAAAGGAGGGGGTTTGGCATGAGCGAGGGGGTCAGCACAAGGACAACACAGGTCGGTTGATTCACGGATAAAGACTGACTCGTGAGCGGAGAAGCCCATGCGTCAATGATGCGTTTGATAGCAAATGCTCTATTCGGCGGCTCCGCGCTCGGGTCGCATCCAGTCGTGCGCCTTCATACCTCGAGGGGATTCGTTGGCAAGGTGTCGTGATGGCGGAAACCGAGATTCCAAGGCCCGCAAAGAATCTCGCGGCGTCGGCTGACCCGGTGCGGATCCAGTCGGATCGAATGTAGCGCCCAGATCCGACCATCGGAATCAGAGCTTGGCCACCAACCACAACCGGCCCTGAACAAAACAGCATCCTGTGTATGATGCCGGCAAGTGGCTGGTTGGTAATGGATTACCTGGGTTGCCTGGGCTGTCTGGTTTGCCTGGGTTGTCTGGTTTGCCAGTCTGGGCCGCCAGAGATGAATGTCGGCAATCGACGCTCGCACCAGAAGAGCAACTGCTCGCCGGCGCCACCCAGCAATTCTGCCTCTTGTCTCCTCCCACATCCCAGATGTGTCCCCTTGCTCTGGTATACAGTGACTGCATCTGCAGCGACTCGCTGGAGGGGTTTTTTTTTGTTGTTGCGCTTAAGGCCCACGGAGGAATGGTCAGGACCCCGTCTCAGTTTGCCCCCTTGACACCACAATCTCCATGTAGCCCGAATTCGCCAACGATTCGTTCCCTGGCGAGTCGGCCAAAGATACCATGAGATGGACGCCCAGGAAACGATTTGACCCCATTGGCCGTTCTTGGCTGAGTATGATATGATCCAACAATGACGTGCTTGTGTCCGCATAGGAGGATATACTCTGTGATCTACAGCATGTTCTGAACCAAACGGATCATTGCGCTATTGGACAAACTGTCCCGCTTCGTTCGACCGAGCTGTGACGGAGGCGACACGAAGCCGGTCTCCAGGTCGTACAACGGCTCGTTTCTCAGACCTGCGGGGTGATCAGAGTCATTTCTTTTCGCAGACAATATACCAGTTGTCTCGATCGTACCCAGACTGTACAATCTCGGCCTCTTCAACTCGGGAAACTAGCTCATCCAGTTCGCCCTTGGTAAAGAGGTGATAGTATCTACAAATCGAATGCGAGAGGGTTGAAGGAGTTTAGTGGCGTGAATCAAGCTCGTTCGCATGATCGATGGGAGCTCCATCCGATACGGCGATGGGAGTCGATTCCAACATGATCAAACCGGGAGGCAAGAATATGAACTACCTCTGGTAAATCACATCCAGCCCTCCATTAGTCTCAGATGGCATCGATTTGGTTGTGTCAGCGACACTTGGAGTGCCAGTTGAAGGTTGGTTCGGTGGTTCAGTGTGGGTGTACACTCGCTTATTCATTTGCCATGACACAAAAACGTCCTGCTTTTCGAATTTGCGACGGCCCTATGAAGTTTAGTTCGAGATTGATAAGATCAACAGGTTCGGCTTGATGTCCTTATGGATACAACAAAAAAAAGGGGGGGGAATGGGAGGGAATGACCCTCGTCATTGAGAGCAAGGGCAGGCATGTCACTCACCTGTTGCTCGAAAGCCCAAACGAAAATGAGAAGCTGCCCTCCCGGTCGCAATATTCGAACCAATTCCTATATCCAAGCAGCCCATTTGAGTTGTTAACAAATCACAAGATGCCATCATGTTTCGATGGGTGGGCAAATAAAACATCGGGATTGTGTGGCGAATCGAATCGTTGGCAATGCTCGAGCTTCTTGCATATTTTTACCTGGATGGCGTTGAGCCTTCGTTCGGGGGTCGAGAAGTGATGAATAACGGCAATTGAGAGGACAAAATCCTATGGATCGGAGAAGGTGTGAATGACATCGGAAGCAAGTATCGAGCTTGCGAGTGACACGAGGTCGGAGCGTAGAAATCGATCCAGGCCGAAAGATCAATCACCTCCATCTCACGACTTACGAATGCGCCCGATCGATATGGCAGGCTCGAGTTGTCGCAAATCATGGCCTCGAATCCTCGTTCCTTGACGAACTGCAAAAGCTCGCCGCTTCTGAGCGTTCAATTTGCGACAAGGTGAATCGCAAGAAACGACCAAAGTGGATCGCATCGCCTGGGTAAGTCAATCGAAACAAGGGATAATGCGTCTCATAGAATATTTCCCGTTGGCGCATAAAAGTGAACATTAAATCGCAGCGGCCCCGACGGTCACTGCTCAATGTTGAATATCGGAAAGAGCTGAAAGAGTCGTCACGACAGAACTGGTGCCATACTTACCGATCTGACCCGAGTGTAAGGACAGATGGATTGACTCCGAGATATTTGCCGTTTCCACATCCAACGTCCGCTCCAAGAGACCCGGGCTGGAGGCCTCTGGAGGGAAAGGATCAGTCCGATGGCATTGCCTCACGATCTGCAACGCAGGAGACGCTCAAGCCGCAACATGTGCGACATAGTCGGGTGGAGAGGACCACACTCACTTGAGAAAATCATCAACAACAGGCCAGGGCTATTTTTCGACCAAAAATTAATGAATCGCCGGTTGAGAAGGAAATAGTCCAAGGAAAGCGATGACAGAGCGAGGAGAGATCTTCAAGAATCGGTGGAAGAAATATTATATCACACACCTTGTAGCGAGTGGCACTGAAGTGTGGAGCTATCGCATCGTAGACATTGTGGACATATTGCTGCTCGAGTTTGGCTTTGTCCTGGATGAAGGAAGGGTCGTCCATTGTGCAGGGACGAGAGGGAGGGCATCAGGCCAGATCATGATCAAAGACCGAGCCACCGAACGAAAACGATCAGTTTGTTCTCGCGAGACAGTGAATCGGTTCTCGGTGTGGTCTCGGTCACGTTTCGATGTTGAAGAGCAGGTCAGCCTCGTTTCCAGAGCAAACTTTGGAGACACACCGCCAACATGGTACATGCAGGGGAGCACAGCTCGAGCAAACCAATCGTGGAGAGAGTGATGGGTACAGTAGCACGTGCATCGAACAGTCGATAGCGGAGGAAAGAGAAACATATCATTTCAAATGATAAAGGAAGAGTAAGTACGGATAAAAGTGGTATTCTATGTTGATTCTCGTATAAGGACAGTCGGTGGGATACTGCTATGGTCCGGATGGGTGCGACTGGATACGATGACGAGACGATGTGTAAGCAAGGTATGGCGCCAAGGCCTTGATAGCCCAGAAGCCGGGAGGGGGAGACGAATTTATTCTTGGCTATCGAAGGAGTGGCGGGGAAGTCAGCCACGGAATATCGAACGAGGAAGCAGAGAGCATTATTTTTCCCAGGAGCGGCACCATACCAAACAACACGACCCAGGAGAATAAAAATAAAATAAAATAAAAGATTCGAAATTTGAGCCACGAATGAAGAAAAAATGAGGAGAGAGGGGAAAGAGGGCTAATGTTCCCACTGGACGGGTCAGCAAAAATACGCTCCTAGGTGGGCTCGAACCACCAACCTTCCGGTTAACAGCCGAACGCGCTAGCCAATTGCGCCATAGGAGCCAATCGCCCAACGTGGGGGTCGAACCCACAACCTTGAGATTAAGAGTCTCACGCTCTACCGATTGAGCTAGCCGGGCAGTGAAAGTGGAGAATCGGGGTATCGATCCCCGTGCCTCTCGCATGCTAAGCGAGCGCTCTACCATCTGAGCTAATTCCCCCAGGTTTGCCCCGATCTCGTTATCGAGTGTTCCGCGGACGCACCTTTTGAATTACTGCCCTCCCATTGCCTACCAACAAAACCAACCCGGTATCAACCATGCCCCCCGACGACTCGCCTGCCCCCGAAATGGCCGTAGACGTCCATGACAGTGTCCCTGGACCCTCCAGAGCACCCCTGAGGCCCAAACTCAGCCCGAAACAATCGATCTCACGGATCAGCCCACGCCCAAGAAACGCAGAGGCGATGGCCAAGAAGTCTCCCAGCCCATAGTCCCCAGTGGCCAGAAGCCGATCGAAACAACGATCGAGGAGCTCTACGGAGACTCCGAAATGTACCCCAACCCTCCCGATGTCGAGGCCGAGAAGAACTGGGCCATCGAAATTGCAGCCAAGGAAGAAAGGGGCGAAGCCTGTGAGGCCGACTACATGTCACTCACCTTCGACGAGATCACTTACCGTCGATTCCGCTTGGTCTTTGCACTCCGAGGCCACAGGGTCCGCTGCTCACGCTGTGCAGACAGGAAGCAGGCCTCATGGCACCTCGACCAAGACGACCACGACATCGTGTGCAAGAACAACATGATGAGCCCTGACAACCCGGCCAAGATTAAGGAGTGCGGCCATGTCAAGACTGGACAACGGGGCAAGCAGGGAAGTGCGCAAGAGTCCTAATACAAGACTCGAACGTAGGGAGAGGAGCGGGGACTGGACTGGGACACAGAGTGTCAAGTGTAAAGCCAAAGTTTTATTCTAGATCCAAGGCTTAGGATACTAAAAATACAAAGTTCATTTCAAGGACAAGGCAAGATAACTAGGCAAGATACAAGGCAAGGAAACTCGGTTCATGACACTATCTCCCCCTTATAGGTCAGCCATAATGGCTCGATAGGACTGGAACATGAACGGCACCCCAGCTCGGGCTTTTCCGAAATTCAGTGTCAGCATCGGTTTCGAACCGGCAACCTCCAGACTGGTATGCAGACACCTTAAACGAACTCGGCGAACTGGGGCACTGGCAGGGGACTCGGAACGGCGGATGAAACCCTTGGACAAGTTTTCTTGGATGTAGGTGTGGAGGGCGTCCATCTCCGGCTTGGAGAGGTTGTAGACGGGCCCAAACGACGGAGACGCACCTTCGACCAACGGGATCGTGTGGTCGTGAGGGCGGTGCTGGGGGAGCTTGTCGGCCTCGGACTTGGAAAACACCTTGGCAAAGGACGAGTACTTGGAGGGGACAGAGGGTTCGGCCTTGGGCTTGGCTCCAGCGTCGACGGAGCAGAGGGACAGGACTCGGGCAGCATCCAAGAGGAACACTTCCAGGCCTTCCTTCTGGACGGCGTGCTGGAAGGGGATGCTGCCGATCAGGCTGACGCTGGGCAGGGACGGGGTCTTGGTCTTGGTCTTTGGGACGGCAGGAGGCAAGGCAGGTGTGATGACCAGCATCACAACGGACCAATGAGATTGTCCCGCATGCTCTCGCCCTCCGCACCAATCATGAGTCCCCACGTGTTTGTTTGCCCCCATGCATGAGCACGCGCCGTTGCCACCCGCGTCTACTGGTTTCCTGCCTCCCCCACCGCTCGGCACATGTCCCCGGGCTGTGCCAAGCCTCTCTCGCTTGCACACCAGCCACTCTCGCACCCCCTTCTCGCTTCTCTGTGATGCTCCACCCTTCTCGCCCACTTTTGCCCCTCGACCTTCTCCCGGTCTATAAATAGCCCTGCATGTCTGAGCCTATGTTGAACACCAGTTCGAACAAAACTTGTTCTTTGGTGTTCGGGGCTAAAAGCTAATAAAGCTCATACCAAGCACTTGGTCTTCGTCCTTGCGCTTGTTCACTCCTTACACTTTGTTCGAACTCTCTTCTACTGATACCACCTGCTTGGTATCTTCCGCTCCTAGCCCCGCCCCTTTCCTAGTCCTGTCCGAACCTCAAGCACACTTGTGTCTGAGCCCTCTTCGCTCTCCTGTTCTTGAACCTCCTCGCTTTTTTTTTTTTTTCCCAGTCCCAGTCCCAGTCCCGCCATGGATCCTGCCCTCGTGGACCGCCTCCGTGCCTTGGAGGCCGAGCTCGCCGAGCTCCGGACAGCTCGCGATGCTCCTGCCGCTGGGTACAGCGTGCAGATGCCGGACCGTTACGACGGTAACCGGCAAGGGTTCCGGGCATTCGTAAATCAGTGCAAACTGTATATACGAATGCAGCCCCACCGGTTCCCTGCTGACCCGATTAAGGTCGGATTCGTCATTAGTCTGCTCACTGGACCGGCTCTCCAGTGGGCGACTCCGATGCTTGAGATGGGTGATCCCCGACTCAACTCTTTTGGCGATTTCCTAGAACGCTTTTCCAAAGTGTTTGACGACCCTGATCGGGCCAGGACTGCCGAGTCAGTGATCACCACACTGTCTCAGGGCAACCGCCCGTGCGCAGTCTATGCATCCGAGTTCCTTCGTATTGCCGCCGATACGACTTGGAACGACGGTGCAAAGATCTCGTTCTTCCGACTTGGCTTGTCGGATGATGTCAGAGACGAACTTTCGCGAGTTCGCCCTCTGCCACGAGATCTGGAGGAGTACATCGAGCTTTGTAACGAGCTCGATGCACGAATCCGCGAGCGCCGTCAAGAGCGCCGAAGCACGCCTGCCCGCTACCGGTCTTCCCAGTTCGCCTTTGGTTCCGCCTCCGCTGCCGTTCCCGCCATCGCTCCCGCGCCCGTCCTCGCTCCGCCGCACCCCTCCTACATTGTTTCCGAGCCCATGCAAGTGGACTCTGCCGTCTCTGGACCCCTGACCGCCGAGGAGAAACAACGCCGCCGCCGCTTTGGACTCTGCCTGTACTGTGGCAAGAAGGGCCACTTGGTACGAAACTGCCCCGTCAAGTTTGGATCTACCAGAGCTACCGGACCGCCCCCTGGACCTCCCGGCCCGAGGATCATCCGCACCATCGTTTACGAAGATGGAGAAGTGCAAGACTTCAGTTCGGGAAACGACCAGGCCCGGTTCTAAGTGAAGGCCTTGAACCGGAGCCGTGCCCACCGCCTTCCGAAAGTGAAGACATTGGTAAGGTGCCTTTGGTAAGTACTGGGGAAGCAGTGATGTGCGGACAGCTTCGCCTTGCCTCTGGACCGGCGGACACTCTCAGCTCTGGCATAGTACCCGTGGCACCTCTGGTGTCACTGGGAACTGCACCTCATCCACAGGTGCAAATACCTGAGCTGTCCTGCCAACCCTCGGCAAAGTTAACTGTCTGTGCTAGCCGCAACCCTGGTGCCGAAGCTGGTACCGAACCAAAGTCTTGTGTTTCGTCTGTTCGTCGTTGCTCGTTGGTTGTTCCCGTCGCTGTTCGTCTTCCTTCTGGTGATTCTCTGTCGTGCGAAGGACTTGTCGATTCTGGTGCCTCTGGCAACTTTATCGACGAGGACTTTGTTGCTCGACACTCTGTCCCCACCTGCTCCAAGGCTTCGCCCTTGGCAGTGGAAGGCGTGGATGGTAAGCCGCTGTCGTCTGGCCCCATCCTCCGCGAGACTGCTCCACTCGAGGTGATTCTCGGGGACGTCTCGCAACGCCTTCGGTTCGATGTGATCAGGTCTCCACATCAACCACTTATCCTTGGCTTTCCTTGGTTGCGCACCGCCGAGCCCAAGATTGTCTGGTCTCGCGGTCTTCTTTGTCTCCCTCCTTCTGTTGATTCCGACCCCTCTCCATGCACTACTTCTCTTTCGTCTTGCTCCACTTCCTCCAATGTCACTCCCCTTCTTGATGATTCCACTCCTTTGATTGATCTAAGCTCCTCTCCTACGCTCCCACCTTCGTCTTCCCCTTCTTGTCTTGTTCCTCCCGAACCCCTTCGCTCTTCCCAAACCCCTTCTTCTGTTGTCAGTTCTCTTTCCCTCCTTGATGTACCTCCTCCTGTTGTTTGTTCTTCGGACATTGTTCAGAATAAAGTAACCGTCGAACATTATTCTGACCTTGTCCACGCCCCTCCTCTCAGCTCGGACGCTCCTCTCCGCGTCTGCAGCATTGATTACCGCTCGATGCGCGAGTCTTTGGATGCATGCAGGCATGGAACGCAACCCCTGACCATCTTTCAGGTCCATGTCCTGCCCACTGACGAGCCGAGCACTGCGACTGTCGAAGTGCCTGCGGAGTACAAGGACTTCCTGTCTGTTTTCTCTAAACAGGAAGCTGACTCCTTGCCTCCGCATCGCCCTTATGACTGCCCCATTGACTTGGAGCCGGGCAAGTCGCCAAAGTTCGGGCCTCTGTACTCACTGTCCGAGCCCGAACTTCACGCTCTGCGTGACTATCTCGACGAGAATCTTGCCAAGGGATTCGTTCGTCCTTCGTCGTCCCCAGCAGGCTCACCAATCCTCTTCGTCAAGAAGAAGGACGGCTCACTTCGTCTTTGCGTTGACTACCGCGCACTGAACGGTATCACGGTAAAGAACCGTTACCCTTTACCGCTGATCGGCGAGCTGCTGGACCGACTTCGAGGCGCGAAGGTGTTCACTAAGCTGGACCTTCGTGGAGCCTACAATCTGCTGCGCATCCGCTCCGGGGACGAGTGGAAGACAGCTTTCCGTACTCGATATGGGCACTTCGAGTACTTGGTGATGCCCTTTGGGCTCACCAACGCGCCAGCGACGTTCCAGCACTTCATCAACGACGTCCTGCGCACCGAGTTGGACCAGTTCGCAATTGCGTATCTTGACGATATCTTGATCTACAGTGCTGATCCGTCGCAGCATGTAGAGCACGTCAAGCAGGTCCTCTCGAAGCTCCGAGCTGCAAAGCTGTATTGCAAGCTGGAGAAGTGCGAGTTCTCCAAAACCTCGGTCTCGTTCCTTGGTTTCATGGTCTCGCCCGAGGGCATCGGTATGGAGCGATCCAAGCTCTCTGCGATCTTGGATTGGCCCATACCGCGCAACATCTCGGATCTTCGATCCTTTGTCGGGTTTGCGAACTTCTATCGACGCTTCATCGATGGATACGCAAAGATCGCGGGGCCCATGACTCGGCTCTTCCGGAAGACGCATGGCTTCCAGTGGTCCCGCGAAGCCGATAAAGCATTCAGATCCTTGAAGGATGCCTTCGTTTCGGAGCCCGTTCTGGTGCATCCGGACCCATCCAAGCCGTTCGTCGTAGAGTCAGATGCGTCGGACTTTGCGCTTGGATGCGTGCTCTCCCAGCGGGGTGCTGATGATCGCCTTCATCCTTGCTCGTTCCATTCGCGGACACTCTCGAATGCTGAACGTAACTACAGCATATACGAGAAAGAGCTGTTGGCGATCAAGGAGGCTTTCGAGGCGTGGCGACACTACCTCGAAGGCGCCCAGCATCCCGTTGCCGTTCTGACCGATCACAAGAACTTGGAGTACCTGGCAACGGCTCGCATCCTAAACCAGCGTCATGCACGGTGGTCCCAGTTCTTGTCTCGGTTCGACATCCGCATCCAGTACCGTCCTGGTGCGAGGAACGGCAAGGCCGATGCCCTGTCTCGTCGCTCGGACTACATCCCTTCGTCGGCCTCCGTGTCGAGGGATCCGCCTCTGCTTCTCGATCCTGCCGCGGTGATACGCGTGCTCCGAAGCAGAGACGCCCGCTCTTCGGTTGCAAGTCGCAGTGACCCTGTGGATTTGCTGCAGCTCATAGCCGAAGAGCAGGCTCGGGATCCCGGTCTAGACAAATACCGTCGTGACCCGAAGTTCGTCTGGAATGGCCAGTACCTCACCTTCCAGAACAGGATTGTGGTCCCAGAGTCGTGCCGAGTTCCGGCGCTCAAGTCGTGCCATGACCCAGTCGCTGTGGGTCATCCAGGCATCCGACGGACTCTGGCTCTGGTATCGCGACAGTTTTGGTGGCAAACCTATCGGAAAGATGTCAAAGAGTACGTCTCGACGTGCGACACCTGTGCACGCTCGAAAGCTCCGCGACACAAGCCGTTTGGGTTCCTGTTGCCACTCCAGACAGCCGATCGACCCTGGGGGACACTGACCATGGACTTTATCACTGATCTGCCAAAGTCCAAGGGTCACACCTGCATCTTTGTGGTGGTATGCAGCCTCACAAAGATGGCACACTTTATGTCCTGGCGTTCACTGCCGTCGGCGGAGGAGACTGCGTCACTGTTCCTCGACAATGTCTTTCGTCTCCATGGCCTCCCCGACACAGTGGTTTCAGACCGAGGAAGTCAGTTCACCTCTCGGTTCTGGAAGGCACTCTGCACGCAGCTCGGGATCCAAACCAGTCTGTCCACGGCCTTCCATCCCCAGACCGATGGACAGACTGAGAGGGTCAACCAGGTCATCAACCAATACCTGCGCTGTTACACGTCGTATCAGCAAGATGACTGGGCCGAGCTGCTGCCGTTGGCCGAGTTCTCTTACAATAACCTCGAGAACTCGTCAACACATGCCTCGCCATTCTTGGCAACCTATGGGTTCCACCCAAGGTTCGAAGTCCCCGTTGTCGCTGGCGGCCCTGATGTTCCCTCTGCCACGGAGAGGGTTGAACATCTCCAGCGGAACCTGGCACTGTTGAAGGAGAATCTTGAGAAGGCAAAGTCTGACTACAAGCACTTCTCAGATCTCCGGAGGTCCCAGGCTCCCGACTTGCGTCCGGGCGATCAAGTCTGGGTGCTGACTCGTAACATCAGCACCACTCGCCCAAGCAAGAAGCTGGATTACCAGAGGATTGGACCATTCACCATCCTCGAGGCCGTCGGGACATTGGCTTTCCGCCTGGACTTGCCAAAGGACATAAAGGTGCACCCGGTGTTCCATGTGTCTCTTCTTGAGCCCTACAAGAAGAACTCGCTTCCGGGTCGGGTGCAAGCGCCGCCCCCTGCGGTGGTCATCGATGGGAACTTGGAGTGGGAGGTCGAAGAGATCTTAGACTCCAAGTTCGTGCGCGGAAAGCTGCACTATCTCATCGATTGGAAAGGCTACCCGGTCACCGATCGAAGTTGGGAGCCCGCCGACATTGTCTTTGCCCCAACGGTGGCCGCGGAGTACCACCGACGCTACCCAGACAAGCCTGGCCCCAGGAGAACTCAAGATGGAACACGCCGTAGTTTAAGGAGGAGATAGTGTGATGACCAGCATCACAACGGACCAATGAGATTGTCCCGCATGCTCTCGCCCTCCGCACCAATCATGAGTCCCCACGTGTTTGTTTGCCCCCATGCATGAGCACGCGCCGTTGCCACCCGCGTCTACTGGTTTCCTGCCTCCCCCACCGCTCGGCACATGTCCCCGGGCTGTGCCAAGCCTCTCTCGCTTGCACACCAGCCACTCTCGCACCCCCTTCTCGCTTCTCTGTGATGCTCCACCCTTCTCGCCCACTTTTGCCCCTCGACCTTCTCCCGGTCTATAAATAGCCCTGCATGTCTGAGCCTATGTTGAACACCAGTTCGAACAAAACTTGTTCTTTGGTGTTCGGGGCTAAAAGCTAATAAAGCTCATACCAAGCACTTGGTCTTCGTCCTTGCGCTTGTTCACTCCTTACAGCAGGACTGGGCTTGGGCACGGCAGGAGGCAAGGCAGGGAGGATCTCGGGCTCGGCTGGGGACTCGGCTGGGGACTTCTTGGACTCGGGCAGGGACACGGCAGGCTCGGCGGGGACCTCAGCAGGGGACTCGGCAGGCGGCTCGGCAGGGCTGGACCTAGAGGACTGTGGCTCGGGAGAGAACGGGGAGGCCAAACTGTGGATAGAGGTGCAAGGCAAGAAAATAGAGTCATGGTGCCAGTCAAAGTAGGGTTTGTGTTTCTTGATCCAATCCATACCCAAGATGATCGGGTATGAAGCCAAGGGAATCAGCGCGAACGAGATTTGTTCATAGTGGCTGATGCCTGTGATCATAGAAACACAAACTCCAAGACTAGACTCCATCGAAGAACCATCGGCAAGAGTGATGACGAAGGAAGTTTCAAAGGTGGGGAGAGCGTGGGTTGCGGCGAATCCAGTGTCCATAAACGAAGTAACCGCGCCGGTATCGATCATGGCGGTTGCCCGTATGGACTCTGGACCGCACAGCAGAGTCACAGCGAGGGAGGGCTGACGTTGGATGTCAGGCTCGGGAGGCGAAGACGAAGAAGCAAGAGCGGTGGAAACGGTGGCAATGGTGACGGGGGCAAGATGGCAAAAGGCAGAAGAGTGATTTACCGTGGAGACATTTACAGGAGGAAGATTTATGACATGATTGACGCCTAGGAAAGCTCCTCCGACCTTTTCTAGGCAGAGAAGTTTTCCTGGTCGTCAAGTTTATTCACATCAACGACAGCCAAAGAAGCATCGATGGCAGCCAAGCGGGAGGAGGTCTTATTGGGGCAGCGAAGGGCAATGTGTCCTTCCTGCTTGCAATAAAAGCAGCGGTTGGCAGCACGGAGGGCGGCCTTGTCCTCGGCGGTCAGCCTGCGAGCGGAAGCCTGGCTGAGGTCCATGGGCTGCGGAACGTTGAAGGCTTGAGCGGGGCGAGGAGGAGGAGCAGGAGCGAACGGACGAGGAGCCGGACGGAAAGGGAGAGGAGCCGGACGAGCAGGAGCAGGAGCAGGAGCGGAGCGGTGGTTGGGACGGCGGGAGCGTTGGTCCTCCTGGCGGTTGTCGATGGCGATCGCCGCTTGCATGAGATCTTCGAGGTTGTCGAAGGAGCGGCGGGAGAGTTCGTCTTGGACCGAGGGCTTGAGTCCACTCTCGAAGTGGAACATGAGAGGGTCTTGGGACCAAGTGACGAGGTGGACGGCTTGGCGGCGGTACTCGGCGGCATAGGCGGCGGCGGAGGTGACTTGGTAAAGCCTGACCATCTCGCGAGCAGCGGCGATGGTGGGCTGAACCTGGCCAAAGGCAGCACGGAGCCACTCGGAGAAACCGGCAAAGTCACGGATGGCAGGGGGGGAGCACTCGGGGTCTCTCTCCAACTGATCGATGTACGGCTGCATGTAGTCTGCAGCAGTACCATCGAGATAGGATAAGGCGTAAAACACCTTATCCCTTTCAGTCTGGAAGAGGGGAGGGTTGGACACGAAGGCCAGTCTGCAATGCGAGAGGAAGGCATTGCAGCGGCTCGGGTCCTTACCAGAGAAGCGGTCGGGAGGACCTATCTGCCTGGTGGCAGAGTTGCGACCAGCAGAGTGATCCTCGGGGTCTTGGGCAGGATCATCGACGTCGTCAGGTACGCCGAAGTAGGGGCGACCTGCGCGACGGATCGGGGCGGGAGCGGGAGCAGGAGGAGGTAGCTGGGCCTGGTAGCTGCGGAGGGCCTCCTGGACACTGGCGGCGACAACTTGGCGGACATCCTCTTCACGGCGAGCCAGGACCTGGTCCATACGATCGGTGATGCGGTTGAGCGCATCATCCTGATCGTGGAGGAACTTGGAAAAGTCCTGGAGAGAACGGGCGTTCTCGGCGGACTGGATAATGACCGCACGGATGGCCTGGAGCTCGGGCTCGGAAAGGCCAGAAGGGGAAGCCATTGGTAAAAGAGATAGCGAAGGGAACGGGGGCAAAGGCAGGGCAAGTGGGGGGTTGTTGAAGGTCTTGCCAAGTGTCAAGACTGGACAACGGGGCAAGCAGGGAAGTGCGCAAGAGTCCTAATACAAGACTCGAACGTAGGGAGAGGAGCGGGGACTGGACTGGGACACAGAGTGTCAAGTGTAAAGCCAAAGTTTTATTCTAGATCCAAGGCTTAGGATACTAAAAATACAAAGTTCATTTCAAGGACAAGGCAAGATAACTAGGCAAGATACAAGGCAAGGAAACTCGGTTCATGACAGGCCAGCGCTTCCCCGTCCTCGCCTTTTGGGGACTAATGACCCGCACTGCGGACAACATTCAAGCCTTCAACCAACGGGTGTCCCTCGGCGACGCCAACACGGTCGGGGCCCGAGTCTGTGATGGCCGTAGCCACAAGACGCGGCGCCAGCCACTGACAAGCGCCAAGAGAGCACAAGAAATGAAGCAGCTGATCCAGCAGCTTGACCTCTCCAGCCCTGAAGGAGTCAACAAGCTCAATGTTAGGGTCTGGGACTGGGAAGGACGGTGTAATGGGCACGCGGACAGGGAGCTCCGGGACGACCCGGAAGGCATCCCGAGGGGGCTTAGCCCGCGCCAAGGAGCGCAGGCAAGCCGGTCCGCTACCCCCCAGGGATGTAAATGCAAGGCGTCGCCCGCCGAAAATAAACCGGCGAGACGACAACACCGTCCTTCGCCTAGTAAACCAGTCGTTACCCGCTCGCTCCAGTCCGTCCGCTCTCGTCCAGTCCCCAGTTGTGAGGAGTGAACAAGCGCAAGGACGAAGACCAAGTGCTTGGTATGAGCTTTATTAGCTTTTAGCCCCGAACACCAAAGAACAAGTTTTGTTCGAACTGGTGTTCAACATAGGCTCAGACATGCAGGGCTATTTATAGACCGGGAGAAGGTCGAGGGGCAAAAGTGGGCGAGAAGGGTGGAGCATCACAGAGAAGCGAGAAGGGGGTGCGAGAGTGGCTGGTGTGCAAGCGAGAGAGGCTTGGCACAGCCCGGGGACATGTGCGGAGCGGTGGGGGAGGCAGGAAACCAGTAGACGCGGGTGGCAACGGCGCGTGCTCATGCATGGGGGCAAACAACACGTGGGGACTCATGATTGGTGCGGAGGGCGAGAGCATGCGGGACAATCTCATTGGTCCGTTGTGATGCTGGTCATCACACTATCTCCTCCTTAAACTACGGCGTGTTCCATCTTGAGTTCTCCTGGGGCCAGGCTTGTCTGGGTAGCGTCGGTGGTACTCCGCGGCCACCGTTGGGGCAAAGACAATGTCGGCGGGCTCCCAACTTCGATCGGTGACCGGGTAGCCTTTCCAATCGATGAGATAGTGCAGCTCTCCGCGCACGAACTTGGAGTCTAAGATCTCTTCGACCTCCCACTCCAAGTTCCCATCGATGACCACCGCAGGGGGCGGCGCTTGCACCCGACCCGGAAACGAGTTCTTCTTGTAGGGCTCAAGAAGAGACACATGGAACACCGGGTGCACCTTTATGTCCTTTGGCAAGTCCAGGCGGAAAGCCAATGTCCCGACGGCCTCGAGGATGGTGAATGGTCCAATCCTCTGGTAATCCAGCTTCTTGCTTGGGCGAGTGGTGCTGATGTTACGAGTCAGCACCCAGACTTGATCGCCCGGACGCAAGTCGGGAGCCTGGGACCTCCGGAGATCTGAGAAGTGCTTGTAGTCAGACTTTGCCTTCTCAAGATTCTCCTTCAACAGTGCCAGGTTCCGCTGGAGATGTTCAACCCTCTCCGTGGCAGAGGGAACATCAGGGCCGCCAGCGACTACGGGGACTTCGAACCTTGGGTGGAACCCATAGTGTCACGGACGGGCAGGGCTGGAGAGGACGGAACGGCGGGCGAGGCTCGAGCGAAGGCAGGACGGAAGCGAGGCGACGGCAGGGCGGAAGCAGGACGGGATCGGGGGGACGGGGACTGGAGACGGTCGTTTATTTGGCGAACGACGTGTTAGGGATAGCTCCTGCCTGTTCTCCACTTTGACTGCACACTTGGCTGTTCTTTTGCCTTTCTGTTTGTTTGTGTGTAGCTTTGTAGTTCCCCTCCGATTTTCCGCCCTTTGCCTGCCATTTCCGCCCATTCCGCACTTCCGTTTCCCCGCGCTGCTCCGCTTCCTTTGTCTTCTTCGCACGCGCCGGTTTGTTTGTGCACGCGCCTTGCTGCGATTGGTTGCAATTCGGCTGCCGGTCATGTGTCCCCCCACCGGTGACTCATGACCTGCCTGACCGCCCCGATCTCTTGTTCATCTCGCATGCATTTGCCCCAACCTTATACTTGACCAATCCGCTTCTTGGACGTTGAGTCACATTGCTTCGCCTTTGCACGTTTCTCCTGCCAGGTGCTTCGCTTTTGCTTGCGCCTCCCTCGCTTTGGTTCTCTGCCTGTCTCGGTGGTCCTTCTCGGCCCTCGTTCGTGCATCGCCCCCTTCGCCCTGCTCGATCGCCCACTTTTCCCTCCCTTGGCCGCCCTTCGCTGCCAAGTCCGGACTTGTCTATAAATAGCCTGACCCCCGCGATGTGTAGTCGAACCTCAGCGTTCAAAATAGGACTAAATAAAGTGCCTTCTACTTTATTCTCTGAGTGTTCCTCACGTCTCATTTCGAGACAAGTCTTATCTTGAACGGATCTTTGCTTCCCTCGCTCCCTCTCCGAGTCCACTTCGGACTTTACCCTTGCTTTCCCTGAGCTCACTTCGAGCTCACTTCTTCTTTTGCCGTTGAGTCCCCTTCGGACTCTAACACGACGCAGGGCAAGGCGGAGAATACAGGTGATTCCTCTTGCTGGGCCTCTCGGGCGACGGGGATGGCGCCTTTATATAGTTTGGGCCCAGCAAGAGTCGGTGCGGGGAACCGGGTCGAGGTTCCCACGCTGCGTCGCTCAGTCTGCGTGCACGGGCTATGTGACGAACACGCCGGTTCGTCACACATAGGTTGCCAAGAATGGCGAGGCATGTGTTGACGAGTTCTCGAGGTTATTGTAAGAGAACTCGGCCAACGGCAGCAGCTCGGACCAGTCATCTTGCTGATACGACGTGTAACAGCGCAGGTATTGGTTGATGACCTGGTTGACCCTCTCAGTCTGTCCATCGGTCTGGGGATGGAAGGCCGTGGACAGACTGGTTTGGATCCCGAGCTGCGTGCAGAGTGCCTTCCAGAACCGAGAGGTGAACTGACTTCCTCGGTCTGAAACCACTGTGTCGGGGAGGCCATGGAGACGAAAGACATTGTCGAGGAACAGTGACGCAGTCTCCTCCGCCGACGGCAGTGAACGCCAGGACATAAAGTGTGCCATCTTTGTGAGGCTGCATACCACCACAAAGATGCAGGTGTGACCCTTGGACTTTGGCAGATCAGTGATAAAGTCCATGGTCAGTGTCCCCCAGGGTCGATCGGCTGTCTGGAGTGGCAACAGGAACCCAAACGGCTTGTGTCGCGGAGCTTTCGAGCGTGCACAGGTGTCGCACGTCGAGACGTACTCTTTGACATCTTTCCGATAGGTTTGCCACCAAAACTGTAGGAGATGGTATCTCCGACGCTGTGCTGCGCGTACTGCGCGTACTGCGCGGCGCAGTGGGTCGTGACCTGTGCTGCGCTTTGCGTTTTCACGCACCGCAGGCAGGCCACCGCAGGGTATACCTGCGGGTTGCCCCCGTTCCCCCCGTTTGTCTGGAGTTCGGTTTTATCGTGAATAAACGTAAGTGCTTCCCCGAGCTCACCCGTCCGCTAGAGTAGCCTAGCACCGCCCTGTTCTGCCCTGTCCTGTCTTGTCTTGTACCCCCTCCCTCCCCGTCTTGCCCCAACGTCCCAGTAGTGGACGTTACATGGTAGCATCGGAAATCCTCGTCTTGTTTTCGTCCTGTTTGTCCTCTTTCTAGATCCTCAAGCTGGATCCCGCCTCTCTTGCCGACCGACTCTCCTCTCTGTCCCTGGAGCCTGCCCCTGCCATGAGCAACCCCCGCCCACTTCCGGAAGCCTTCCTCAAGACCTTCCGTGCCCCAGTGTTTACTGGGAAGAGCCGCTCCTCCTCGGTGGAGGACTGGCTGCAGCAACTCGAGGACTACCTCGATGCTGCCCAAGTCGCCCCCACCCACCACATCGTCGCCGCCAAGCTCTGCTTGAAGGACCAGGCGTACCGTTGGTACCGCCGCCAAGGGTTCGACGAGCAGAGCGAAGGTGTGTTTGACGACTTCAAGGACCGCCTCCGTCGCCGCTTCGGCAGCCCCAATGCTGAACTCATTGCCCGTGACAAGCTATACTCTCTCGTGCAGCGTGGTTCTGTGACCCGCTACATCGAGGAGTTTGAAGACCTCTCCTCCCAGATTGAGGAGCTGGGCTCTGCTGATGCGATGTACCTCTTCCAGAAGGGCCTCAAGCCCAAGATCAGAGAGTACATCGCCAGCAACCCTGATGCCCGCAAGTCCCTGGACGTGATGATGGACGTTGCCGAGAACCTCGACAACGTCCAGTACCATGGCCGCCAGTTCTACCCGCAGCTGGCAGGCGGCCATCGGTCTCATCACGTCCCAGCCCGTCCGCCTCGCCCGGCCCCGCCCGCAAGACCCATGCCTGAGCCCATGGACGTTGACGTCAACGCCATGGAGGCTCGTGGCCCTCCCCGCTCCCGGTTCCAGCAAGCTGCCACTGTCTCCCCCAAGGACAGACAGAAGCAGGAGGACCTCCGCCATGGTTCCTGCTTCTTCTGTCACCGACCGGGACACCAGGCCAAGGAGTGCCCCATGAAGTCGGGAAACGGCCGACCCTACTAGGTGGCTCTGGAGCCCTAGTAGGAGACCAACGCCGTGGATTGCTCAATGCAGTCCACGCGTCTCCAGAGGAAGTTCACCTCGCCCCCTCCCCCGAAGGAGAAACAAACCAAGTGTTGTGCGTCGTGCGAGAGGTGCATGGTGGCGCAAGCCGCCTGCCTCTCCACGAACGTGAAGAGAAAACCAAAATTGAAAACCAAAACAAAAAAGAAAATCAAGAACCCTTGAGGGACAGGACCGCCTGTGCCCTCACCCCTGTCAAGTCGTGTGTGTCGGATGCTTCCGACATGTGTCCGCAAGCCGTGGACGTCGTGTGCAATGGCGTGCTGACGCCGCAGGCCCCCGCAATGGCCGAACCCTATCCAAAATGTCCGAGTGGCCGTGATGAAGCCAACCAAGACCAAGTGTCGCCCGTTCCCCCAAGTCAAGTCATGGTGCAGGAGGCTGTGCAGGAGGACCATGAAGAGTCCCTGCTGTACCTCCCTGCCACCGTCCAAGGTCACACCGTCCGAATGATGGTGGACTCTGGAGCAAGCTGCAACTTTGTCAGCAGACGCTTGCTCCAGGAGCTCAACATACATGCAACCAAGAAGAAGTCGCCGATGAGTGTGGCGCTTGCAGACGATCGTGTGCAGCAGTGCACACACCAAGTGGTCCTGCGAGTGGCCCTCCATCCCAAGTACCATCCTGTCCTGTTGTTCCAAGTGATCGACACCAAGTTCGATGCCATCCTCGGCATGAGCTGGCTTGCTCGTGCCGAGCCGACTCCAGTCGTCGACTGGAAAGGCCGCACTGTCCGTGTTGGCCCTGACATTGTCCTGCAGGGCATGGCCTCACCCAACATGCCACCTCTCCTCTCAGCCATGCAATTCAAGAGGCTGATCAAGAAGGACACGTCGTTCCTCTGTGTCGTGCGTGAGGTCGACGACACCGACCAAGCCGGTCCCGGTCCCCCGCCTGTGGTGACCAAGCTGCTCGACGAGTACAAGGACGTATTCCCCGACCAGTTGCCACAATGCCTGCCACCCCAACGCACCGTCGAT